AATGTCTGCTTTATCTATAAAGTGTTTTATGATGGCTTTGGGAGAACCTTTTAAGTAGAGTTATTTTTTCATATCCCTCTTCTGGAGCTGGCAAAATACAGAAATATGTGCGTGGTGATATATATATCTATCCCCAAGTCTAGACTTACTTGGGCTCTGGCTATTTAGAGCCAACGTTTGGTGTTTTTAACCTCTGTGATGCATTCCTTTCTTTCATCTCTGTGACTCCTGGCCACTCTTCTCTGTATGCCTGCCTAACTTTCCTGATATTTCTGGGGCATAAATGGACTCAGGATATGTGACTGAGAAAAAATCAGATAGCAACATAGTTCTGGACCCTTTTTTTTTTTTTTACATAAAAGAAGATTTTCTTTTATTGATATGGAAATGAACAGATGTCTGATAACCTTTCGCCAACCTAAAGCATTTCTGTTTACTCCAGAGAATTTCTTTGGGCTGATGTTTCGAAGGACTTACCCAGTCAATTCAAAAGTTCTGTCACAGATATCAGAATGATCTTGGCTAGCCCCAAAATGGGAGATTCATTTATTTCTGGCTTGGTGCCTCGACTGTCTATAAAACAGGAAAGAAGCTCTTGCCACTGGACATGAAATGGTTTTATATTTATACACCGGAATGCTACAATGGGTAAAAGGACTGTTCTCACTAAAAATCCCAACACTTTACAAATCCACGTTGTTTTATCTGACCACTTCCACTTACCAGCATCAGAAGAGAAATGATATAAACTCAGTAAGTACTTTTTTACTGACTGAGGCAATAAAAGTCAATCAGGGTGTTTTATAATCTGCCACTAGGCACAAATCTCTACGCGCCCAGGTAAGCTGCTGTTGGAAAGGATAAATCCAGAGCAACAGTAACAGAATCACGTGAGCCCACAGTTGTCACGTCTGCATTCCAGTCTTGAAATAGCCAACAACAAACTGTTTTATCACCAAATCTGCCTCCACTCTCCATCTCTTTCTAGAAAATTCAAACTCGATGCATGGAAAACCAAACCTATTATCATTCTTCCCTCTGAGCTCCATCCAGTTCTTTGGCTCTTCCTATTTCCTGCCTCAGCCACCCACTTACATCTAAGTCATGTCACCTTCTGCCACTATCACCACCCACCTGCTCACATCCAAGTCACATCATCTTCTGCCATGAAGCTCTGTATTTCTGTGGCCACATTACTACTGAGAGTGCTCACATAGGGCTCTCCTTCTCAGGTCACCAGAGCCAGTCACTAGCTCCTGGGACCAACCAGATATTCCTGCAACACTCTCTAGCACTTTGCCTCCCCCTCCTTAATCAACTGTCCTGAAGACACAACTGGGGGAATTCAATGGGGTGTGCTACCTCCCAGTGGGCTTAGTGTGAGAACTCATATGGCAGTATAATATTTGGGAAGTGTATCAATGAAATTAGAACCTGATGTTAGTAATGTTTATAAGAAAAATCTTAAATTCCATAAACATAAATCTAACAGAATCTTATCTAATTAATAATCATCGACCTTCATATCTAAAGAATGGAAGTGTTTTTCAAACTTACCTTAGATAATTTTTATGACATTCTAACAGTCTGAATCACTTTTTCTTAGCATACCAATGGGAAAGTTAAAAAGTAGAGAGGGCCGGGCGCTGTGGCTCACGCCTGTAATCCTAGCTCTTGGGAGGCCGAGGCGGGTGGATTGCTCAAGGTCAGGAGTTCAAACCGCCTGAGCAAGAGCGAGACCCGTCTCTACTATAAATAGAAGAAATTAAGTTGGCCAACTGATTATATATATAAAAAATTAGCTGGGCATGGTGGGCGCATGCCTGTAGTCCCAGCTACTCGGAGCTGAAGGCAGAAGGACACCTGTAAGCCCAGGAGTTTGAGGTGCTGTGAAGCTAGGCTGACGCCACGCACTCACTCTAGCTGGGACAACAAGTGAACTCTGTCTCAAAAAAAAAAAAAAATACAGAGGAAAACTGCTTTACTCAATGTCACAAAGGAAACGTAGTGGAAAAAGAACTAAAACTAAATCCATCCTAAAAAAAATAAAGGTTCCTGGAAGTGCTATGCACTGCTTCTGACTTTTAAATACCTACCTAGGAGACTTTTAATATGACCTAGTAGAAATTTAATACTCTATTCAAGAAAATATTCCCCAAATGGCAGTTAAGTAATCTTAAGTGAATTACAAAGATGGTTTTGATAATTACCCTCAAAAAACATGTCTTTATCTTCCAGACTTTTACTCTCCAGAGCAAACTACACATTGGAGTCACAATAACATCTCTTGTTCCAAGGAAACGTAACTCCTTCTATGCCTGAGGGCTACAAAGGTCCAAAATTTGCTCATAAATCCAGCTCTGGAAGAAGAAAGGCTTATCATCCAGTTATATGTCGTTCCATCCATGTTGTGCCAGAGAACATGACAACGGTTGATTAAAATGTTGGAAACCTTAAAGTATATTAAAAATATACTAATGGAGGGTATAAATGTTAAAATATACCATATACACACACACCTAAAATTATTATTCCCAAATACATGCAGAAGATTTCTAGTTAAAATTGAGGCCCCAAACCTCATTACTAACAATGAGCTAATCCAAAGCACACTGGTTATGTCCTGTACACCCCCCTGTGCCAAAGGTCATGCTTCATTGTGCTGCTTCACATATGAAACTCAGGCAACCGCAGCACTGTGTGATATCCTATGTGTACTTAAATGATCCCCTGTGACTGTCCCATGATGACAGCTCTTCCCAAGATGTCCCTGGATCACTATAAGTCACTGTAGAGCATTAAGGTTCAGCAGATCCAGTGCTTCTTGTGGAGCTATCACCTCACTCTGACAACATTGTCAGTTTTCCATTTGCTTTTATTCACCAGGTATATAAAATTGGCATATATATTGAGTTGCCTCCTATAACACTGAATGACTTTTCCAGGCTGCTTCAACAAAAACAAATCCAGTTTGTCCTATCATGACTCTATAAAACATGATGGATGCATTTAAGTTTCAACATTTATTTCTTTTCTTGTAGATTTTCCTTCTTTCCTCCATTTTAATGGAAACAGTAGATTTTTATTTACTTTGCACATTAGGAGCACTCAAACAACAACACAAAGAATCTATTATAAGAACGGGCCCTTAAAAAGCCTAAAATAGCCGGGCGCGGTGGCTCACGCCTGAATCCTAGCTCTTCTGGACCGAGGCGGGCGGATGCTCAGGTCAGGATCAAACCACCTGAGAAAGAGCGAGGACCCCGCCTTACTATAAATGAAGAAATATTGGCCAACTGATTATATATAAAAATTACCGGCATGTGGCGCATGCCTGTAGTCCCAGCTACTTCGGAGGCTGAGCAGGAAGGATCGCTTGAGCCGGAGTTTGAGTTGCTGTGACTAGCTGACGCCATGGCACTCACTCTAGCTGGACAACAGCCAGACATCTGTTCAAAAAAAAAAAAAAAAAAATGGCCTAAAATAATTTGCTACGCTGCAACTTACTATGACTACCAAACTTCAGTTGTTATATCTTTAAGAACCAAGTTTCTTCAAATCTTTATCAGCTTGGTCCAGTACCATTAAACAATCTCATAGCACCCTGTGCTCCCTTCACAAATGTGAATGAATTATGAACTGTACATTTTGTGGTTAATGTCTGTATCTTCCCTTAGAATGTAAGCTTCATGTGGACAAGGGCTGTGTGTACCTGTTATTTTCATTGCTGTGCCTGCCACAGTGCCTTGAGTGCAGTAGGAAATCACTGGATATTGAAGGATGACAAAAAGAACAAATAAATCTGTGAGTGTTAAATGGTGTTAAATCTGAGGGTCTAGTATGCAAGGGCAAAATAAGTTTTTTGATTCTCTGAGAGTTTTTCCTAGGATGTCATAACAGATTTATTATCAAACTACAAAAATGACATGGTGACAACAATCCATGAGTTAATTATTCTTGAGATAAGTTCTGCATTCATAAAACCAATTCTCCTGGTGGTGATTTTCCCCATTTTAAATGTTATGGCGCCTGTGGATATTTGTTTAATCCTTGCATATGAAAACATCAACGTGTGTTTGGATAAGCAGAAGAGGCAAACAGATGCGGTTATACCTAAACTCCACTACTCGAAATCACAGTATTTCATTTCCAAAGTCACAGAAATATAAACCAGAAAATGCCATTGAACAAAAAGTGTCAGAAACCTCCACAACAATCCACTGTTTTCTTGATATTGCTCTCTAACCACTGATAAAAACTCTTTGAAGTGGAAGAGCAAATATTATCATTTGATAGTACTTGGACCCAACCGTGCAAATACAATTGCATTGTGTTACACTCTGGGGGCTCCGGCCAGTCACACACCGCTGGCAGGGTTGCTATGGAGGAACCAATGTGCTTAGCGCAGGAGCAGGCCAGGAGGCAGGCAGCACTGCTCTGAGGAGGGACCCACCTCTTAATCTTTCTCGGCTAGACAAACAGAATGTTAGGGGGGAAATGCTGGCTTTCACATATGTGTTTCTGTTTCTGCAACCCTGGGAAGGAAGGACCACAAACAGGCAAAGGGAAACGCCATCTCCCTAGCATCCGCTTGCTTTTACAGCTCCCAGCAACATTTGTGTAAAGGATCGCAGGTGGGGGTGGGGAAAAAATCTGATGAGCGGCCTGCAGTCCTGAGTGGGGAACTGGGGACCCCGCAGCAGGACAAACTACCTGGAGGCACCCCGCATGGACCGTGAGGCCTGAAGCCGCGGGCGCTCCCATCGCCCCTGCCCCGGGATGGCCTGGCTGAGGAAGACGCGTGCGGTCGCCCCAGCGTGCCAGACCCCTCAGGGGTGCGGGCAGCCGCCAGGGCCCCATGGGCGGCGGCGGGGCGCGCGGTCGCGGCGGCCTGGGCAGCTGCGGTCCCCTGCGGAGCCGCCAGAGTCCTGGGCCGCTGCCTGCCCGGCGCCTCCCCTGCTCTGGGGCCGCCCTCACGCCCGCCCCGCCGCGGCGCTCACCTTGCCGGGGAAGGGCCCCGGGAGCAGCAGCTTCAGCGCCTGCCTCTTCAGCTCCACCAGGCGGGCGTTGCAGTTCTCGCACCAGACGCCGCGGTCCGAGCCGGGGGAGGAGCCGCCGCCGCTGCCCGAGCCGGGGGACCCGGTGCCGAAGCCCGGCGAGCCGCCCAGGGAGCCCGGCGAGCTGGTGCCGATGCCAGGGGACGCGGGGCCCGGGGAGCCCGTGAAGGAGCTCGGGGACGAGGTGCCCGAGCCGGGGGACGGGGTCCCCGACGAGCCGAGCGCTGAGCCCGCGCCCTCGGGGGTGGGCCGGCTCCCGGCGCGCGACTCCTCGTACGCTTTCCTGTACCAGCTCTCGGGGGAGAAGGGCGCCGCCGCGGGCTTGGTGGGCGAGCAGACTTCATTCACCTGCGGGGGAGACACGCCGGCGTCAGGGGCCGCAGGGCGGCTGGCTCCCGCGCCTCGGAGCCGGGCTGGGATGTGGGCACCCGCCCGCCCGCCGGGGAATCCGCGCGCCACCAAGGGTCTGGCCGAACGCCCACGGGTACCCATTAGGGACCGCTCCGGCCCCTACGGCCAAATCGCCCTCCATCTGTCTCGTTAATTGTCCTTAAGTGAGTCCCCACCTCCCGCGTGACCCCTGCGCCAGTTCCCGGGAGCCGGTGGACTCCTCGGTCAGGAGCAAAAAGGCTGCTCCGGCGTTTTCAACGGTTTCTGCAGGGGGGCCCACAGATTCAGCGCCCAGCGATTTTGAGCCCAGCACCCACCCCGGCAAGAGCCCAGGTACAAGATCCTGGAAGGCTATATCCTGGGAGACCCGGGATTTCAGGATTTTTATTCATTCGGGGTACAGCCCTCCGGATCCTGCAGGTAAATGAAAGGCTCTCCCGGCTCGGGGGAACGATCTGAGGAATGGCAGAGGATTCACGGGAAACCCTCCCCTTTGGCTGAACTCTGCCTAGAACTCTGCCTACAAGTGCAGGAATGCTGCAAAAGTTATGGGTGCGGAAAAGGGAAGGGACAAGAGGACTTAAAAAAACCCGAGAGCAAGGCGAGTGTGCGGGAGTCCCGCGCCAGACCCGCCTCCGCGCCCGCACAGCCCGCCGGCCGGCGGCGCCTCCGCAGCGGGAGCACAGTTGGCGCTGCCCGGCCCAGGCTGCACGTTCCCGGGAAAAGGGGCTCCCGGCACGGCTCCGACGCCGCATCTCCGCGTTGTGCCCGTCACAACTTACCCCGTATTTCTTGCCCCTGGTGGAGACCGCAAGCCTCTCTTTATTCCCAGCAACCGAATTCATGGTGGCTTTTCCAGAGGAGAGTATCGCAATAATCCACCAGCGCTACATCCAAAAGGTCTTCCAACCGAGAAGCGTCCCCCGTTGTAGGGGGCTGTCTCTTGGCCCTCAAGTCACGGTTCCTTAATGGAGGGGCGGGGGAGGGAGAGAAAGGCAAATGGACCCCAGAAGTAATAGCACCAATTTGCAGAAAGGGTTGGGGTAGCTGGTATAGTCGTCTTTCAAATAATGCTTTTCCTCATCCTCTTCTGCCTCTTCCAGTCGCACGTTCTTTTCAGTCACATCAGATTACTGGCGTTTTCCTCAGCCAAGTAAGTCCGTTCTCCGCCACGCGGGGAGAGAGGAATACAATCGGGGCGCGCGGCAGCCGCAGGGAAGGTGGGCGAGCCTCGCCGAGCGAGCCGGCTGCGGGAACTTGTCTCCTGCACCGAGCTTGGTAACTGAGTTCAAAGAAATTCTCCCAAAATATAAAGATCCAGACTCGGGGAGGAGCCTCGGCGTGTCGCCGAGCCAATATCCGCCGGCCCGTTTCGCCTGACAGTTGCGCGAGAGCAGGGAGAGGGCGGCTCTGCGCGCCGGGCGCCGTCCGCGGTCAGCGCGCGCGTGTGCGCCCGGGCGCAGCGCGGAGCCTGGAGACCCGCGGCCCCGCCGCCCGGGAGCCCGCCGCCTGGCTGCCGCCGCCGCGCCGGCCCGGCTCCATTTTATGTTGCGGCGCTCCCGCCTGACAGCGAGGCCGAGGGCCGGGCGGGGGCCGTAAATCTCGCAGCTTGCGGGGAAGTTACTGGCGAGTGGCCCGTGTCCGGGGCGCTAACGAAACGCCGCGGCGCGAGCCTGCCGCTGAGGGCCGGCGCGGCGGGACGGAAACGCGGCGCCCGAGCTCCCCCGCCCCCGAGTTCTTTCTCTTCCTGGCGAGGCTTGCAGGTCTGCCTTTGAAACGCCGTGTAAAAGGGATTGAGTCACAAACAAGTCCACAAACATGCCGGGTCCTCCCCCCGCCCTTTGTTCTCCGAGACCTGCCCTGCAAACCTTTTCTGGAACTGCCCTACCACCCTCCGGCCGGCCGGCGGCCACCCTCCCCGCCACAGCTGGAGGAGTGGGGGCCTTCGGCCCCGCCCGGCCCCCCGCGCCCCAATCCGGGGTGTGCTAAGCCCCCAGGGCTGGGACAGGTGAGCCCGGGGACCCAGCGGGCCTCTGCGGGCAGGGGAAACTGAGGGATTCGCCACGCCGCACACGCGCGGCACGGACGGAGCGGGCCTGGAGACGGGGGTGTGGCGCGAGCCGGCCTTGGCCTCTCCTTGCGGGGGTCGGTCCCCCGCCCCAGCTCCGCCCCTTTCCTCCCGCGCGTGGGTCTCGCGGGGTCTCCGAGCGCCTAGTCGTCGCCCCTCTCCCGTCCCCACCCCCAGCCCCGGCGCTGCCCGGGAGCGCAGGACGCCGGCATATGCCGGGCTCCACACGTGGCTGCTCCGGGGTGTCATTTTTCATTTCCCGGGAGGACATTTCTTCTGGCGAGCCGGTAGGTCTGTTTGGCTGTGACCTTTAATTAACACCCGCGAGACGCCCGCTGAAGGACTGGCCCGGCGCGGGATCACGTGGGGTGTAATGGCATCTCCGCGCCCGCGGACGCCGGTCTGGGGGAGCGGGGGCGCGAAGGACGCCCGGCGTTTCCCGGTCGCTGGCTTCCTTCTGCGACGCGGACGAGGCACGAGGGGCAAGAAGACAATAATTCGGGGTGCCGAGACCCTGGGCAACGCCCCCCGCCTGGCTCGGGGAGAATGCCTCCTCTGCCTTCCCTGAGCTGCCGCCCCTTCCCCCACCCCGCAGCCCTTGCGTGGGAATATTTCACAGCCGCCACAGCGAGGTGAAAAGGTCAAATGAAGACGTCGAGAGCAGTGTGCAAGTTCCCATTACATTCCTACTTCCAATTTGAAAGCGATCACGTCAGTAGAGGACCCCGGGGGGAGGCACCCCTCCAGGCTGCACGCGCCGGCTCCCGCATCCGTGTCCCGCCCAGGTGCTGCGGGAGTGTCACTGCCATTAGCCACGGCCGCTTATCGGCCAAAAGGCAGCGTGTGGCCAGTGAGGTGGACGAGCCGGTGCGGCCGCGGGTGGGGAGTGTGGGGTGTCGACGGGGAGTATTGGGGAGCTGCGCGGTCCACCTTAGAGACGGAGGCGCCCGGAGCTGGTCTGATTTGCATCCCAAAGTGGCGGAGGCCCCGGAGCGTGTTTGGCGGGCTTAGAGCGCCCTCTGTGGGTCAAAGTTTACAGCTGGAGGCTCCTTAAGAGTTTGATTTCAGGCTTTTAAAAATTGATGGAAAATGTCAATACATACAGTGAAGTGCACAAATTTGAAGTGTACAGTTCTATGAATTTTGATAAATTTATATTCCAGGTAGGCTACCATATCAATCAATATATAAATTCCTCTCACTCCAGAAAGTTCTCTCCTGCCTTTTCCCAGGCAATCCCTCATAAGCGGCCACTATTCTCATTTCCATCACCATAGATTAGTTTTGACTGATCTTGAGTTTTTTAATTCATATAGCATGTACTCCCTTGTATTTTCCTCTCTTTTTTGGCTTAACATAGGTTTTTAAGTTTCATGTTATTGCTAGCATGGGTCTGTTTCTGTTTGTACTCTGTGGGAAGTTTTGGGGGGGATTTTGTTATTGTTTGGTTGGTTGAGTTTTTTTAGAGACAGGATCTTGCTCTGTTGCTCTGGCTGGAGTACAGTGGCGTGATCATAGCTCCCTGCATCCTGAATCTCCTGTGTCCAAGGGATCCTCCTGCCTCAGCCTCCTGTGGAGCTGCTGGGAGTAAAGGTGTACTCTGTTTTTCATCCTTCCATCTCTCCTGCCTTCCTTTTGTTAATTGATTTTTTTTTTTTTTTGCTATTCTACTTTTATACATCTATTGGCTTTTTAGCTCTAATGATTTTAATATGCATCTTTAACATATCATGGGCTACTTGAGAGTTAACATTGTGCCACGTCACCTAAAATATAAATTTGCAACTGTGCCATTTTACCTCCCTCCTTTGTGCTACTATTCTGATATATTTTATATCTACATACATTGTAAGACCCATGATACATTCTGATCAATTTTATTTTAAACACTCTGTCATCTTACAGTGAAACTAGAAAAAGTTTTAAAGTTTTTTATATTTACTCAGTTTTACCATTTCTGGGACTCTTCATTTTTTTTCTATAGAGCCAAGCTTCCAACTGGATTATTTCCTTTAGCATTTCTTCTAGTGAGAGTTTCCTGGAAACAAAATGATCTCAGATTCTACTTATTTGAAAATGTCTTTGTTTCGCTTTTGTGTTTGAATAATATTACATAACACTTAACTAATGTAGAATTCTTGGTTGACAGTTATTTTTCTTTCAGCCCTTCAAGAATGTTAGTCATGCCTTCTGGCCATCCTTGTTTCTGATTAGAGATCCGCAGTAATTCTTACAGACATTCCCTTGTAGGTAATGTGCCCTTTACTCTGGCTTCTTTGAAGATTTTCTCCTGACCTTTGGTTTTCAGTAATTTGACAATGATGTTCTTGAATGTGGTTCTTTTGTATTTGTCCTGTTTAGGGTTTGCTAAATTTCTAGAATCTATAAGTTGATCTATAAGTTTTTCACCAAATTGGAGAATTTTCAGCTACTATTTATTGAGATATTTTTTTCTGCCCCATTCTTTCTCTTTCCTCTTCTTCTGGGACTCCAAGTACATGTTTGTTATTATGCTGTATGTTATTGATAGTGTCCCATAGGTTACTAAAACTCTTTTCATTATTTCAATTTTTACCTCTCTATTATAAAGACTGGATAATTTCTATTGATCCTTTATTAAATTCACCAACCCTTGAGTCTGCTGTTTCCAATTTGCTGTTAAGCCTGTCCAGTGAATTTTTCATTTCAGATATTGTGTGTATGTGTATGTGTGTTTCCATTTCTCTATTTCTTTTCCTTTAAATCCTTGAACATAGTTATAATAGCAGCTTTAAAGCTCTTGTCTGAATTTCAAACTCTGACTCTTTTCGGAGTCACTTTCTATTAACTGATTTTTCTTCTGACTCTGAAAATCACATTTTCCTATTTCTTTTCATATATAGTAAATTTTAACTGTGTGCTGCATATTGTATTAATAGATGCTACATTGTAGATTCACTGGATTCTATTATCTTCCTTGAAGAGTATTGATTATTCTAGCAGGCAGTTGGGATCACCTAGCAGATCACCTTGAACTTGGGGAGACTTCATTTTATGCTTTGTTAGACTGGTTCTATTTCATTTTTTCCCTAAGATCTAAGACAAACCCCTTAGTCCTGCGACTTGTTCTTTATCCCAAAGGTATGGTCCTTCTGTGGTTTCAATGGAAAGCCTAACTGGGTTGCCAGGCACCTCTAACTTGGGACTCAAACCCCAAGCTCTGCTCCCCTGCAGCTGGCAGCAGCTAAAGTCTCTGCTCAGTTCTTTAGCCTAGGTGCTGCTTTCCCTGAACTTCTTGCACTTCTGTATATCCAGAGTTCAAATATATCAGCCAAAGATTTGAAGGAAATTTAATGTGGATTTCAAGGCTGCCTCACTCTGGCTCTCTCCTTTCCAGGATTTTCCTCCTCCCTTCCCAGCTACTCTGACTGCCCTTGCCCCCACCATGCAATGCCTAGACCAGTAAGACTGGCCTTCTGCTCGCGTGCTGGCCATTGTACTCTGCAGACAGGTAAAAGGCCCTTCTTTCAAGGCTTGAATCCTTGAATCCCTCCATTCTCTGTCTGCTTTGGGCCACTCTCCAGTGCCCTTAAATAGGTTTGTTGTTGTTGTTGTTTTCCAGTTTATGAGTATTTTCTTTGGGAAATTGAATGTTATATAGAAAGTACTCCCTAATTCTAGTTTTTTTTTTTATTTATTTATTTTTTTTTTTTTTATCTGCACTGCTCACAGCCGCTGCACTTGCGATAGAGTCTGGGGCACGCCTACCAACGCTATGTCTGTTTCGGAGCTCCTAGTGAAGGCCTACGGAGGGGTGAGTTGCAGGAGCCGGGGAAAGCGAAACGGGCACAGACTTGATGCCACGGGAGGTCGAGCTGCATTTCACTTGGGAGGGGCCTAGGGAGTCTCCAGCTGTTGCTGTCTGACGTGTTTGGCAAGCCCGAGCATTCTTCACGAATGATCATCTTTTTATTTTGTGTTCTTCTTGCGCAGAACACCGAGACTTGTACAACAGGTTCGTAGGTTGGCGTGGACCACGATTACTCTCGGGTCCTGCGACTAATTCATCGAGATACCTCGCATCCTTAGGCTCCGGCGCTGGCTCCTAGCTGTGACAGTCCTGGTTTAATTCTACAGTCCGTTGTCTAGGGAGGTAGAACACACGACGGCCGCTTCGTCACGCACATGCACTACTGGCTTCGCTGGCATGTTGGTGCCTAAACTCGTATGAAAATTCATTCATCCAAGACCACGACCAATATGGGCCTCATATATAGTTTCTAGGTATGTTTTTTCTTCTGGAATTTCTTGCTTTATTTCTTAGCGTAATCTAAGGTTCTCGCGTTCATAGTTTTCTTTC